GGGCTGGAGGGAATGACATGGGCCACGCCACTCTGCCCCACCCCAGCCTCCCTCCTGCCTCCTTCCTGTGTGATTTCCATTAAAATCTGTTGTCTTGTGACACTGCCAGTGTGGCTGGCCCTGCTCCTGCAGGCCACATGGTCTGGGAAGGGAGGAGAGATAAGGAAATTTGCCCTGGAGCAGAGGCAAACAGACAAGGGCAGGCGGGGACATGGGGATCCTCTCAAATACCACCTCCTGCTCTTCCTCTGGGAGCCTGGACCCTTCTGGGGCGCTGCCCTCTGAAGATGCCCCTGACCTTGACAACAGATGAGGAACAGTCCCAGGCACAGCACTCCCTGTGTGGCATCAGCTGTGGATTCCAGAGCCCCGCTGCTCCCACAAACTTCAGGCCACCCCCACCCGTCTCCCCCACACTGGAGGGAGACACAGGGGAGCCGGTGCCCAGCCCCATTGCCCATGGTGGCCACGGCCCAGGGACTGAGCTTCCATGCCTCGGATGCTGCTACCCCCTCCCCGCCCTGTCCCCATGGCCCTGGTGTGTGGCTCTGCTGTCCTCCCCTGCCCTGTGTATTTCAGCACCACCAACGCACCACCTCTTGTCATACCTAATTGTTCCTGCTGTGGTTTGGGGAATTTTTTTATTAAATAAAATTTTTTATTATAACTAACATACATTGAAAACATTTGGAAAATAAGACAGCCACCTGACGCTCATCTCTTTCCACCTCTGACCCAACCATTGTGAGTATTTTGGTGAATTTCTTTCTAGCATCTTCTCCAGGCATCTGTTGTGCACATGGTTGAATTGGTGTGTCTTGTACTTGGCTTGTTTCTCTTTTTGGGGGGGTTACTGGGGATAGAACTCAGGACCTTTCGCTTGCCAGGCAGGCATGGTGCCATTGAGCTAAATCCCCAGCCCTGGTTTCTTTCTCTTTTTTTTTTTTTCTAGTACCCAGGATCAAACTCAGGACCTTGTGCTTGCAAGGCAGATGCAGCACCACTGAGCTAAATCCCTGGCCCGGTTTCTTTCTCTTAACATGGTATTGTAATCATTTTCTGTGTTGCTGACTAAACTTCATTTTAAGTGGCTACTTATATTTCATTAATCAGCCATGCCACGATTTACATAACCATCCCTCTTTTTTTTTTTTTTTTTTTTTTGGTACCGGGGATTGAACTTGGGTCCTTGCCCTTGCGAGGCAGGCAGCGGCACCACTGAGCTAAATCCCCGGCCCCACCATCCCTCATTTTTTTAAAAAAAGTTAGGTTTCTTCACTGGAGGTTCAGTTACTTTCGTTTTTTCTTAGGAGTAAAAGAAAAAAAATCAGAGAGAGAACTACGTTTTTCTGCGCTATGTCTTTCATTTAACTTATTTAAACCCTCTCATTTAGTCCCTTATCACTACTTTGAGGTAAGTAGGATTTATTTCCATTTTTCAGAGGAAGAAATGGGCAGACTGGGGTTAAATAAGTCACCCAAGGTCACACAGCAATTTTAGTGGCAGAGCTGGGATGTGAACCAAGTTTTCTGACTCAAGCCACCTCGTTTACGTTGCAGTCTTAGCTCTTCACGGAATTTAAAGACAGGCTTGTCCTCTTCTCTGTCCTCCTCCTCCTGCATGCACTTTAGAGCTGATCTTGTTCCAAGCAGCACCGGATGACACATTGCTATCTACACCTCACCTTTGAGACTGTGTCCTGACATCACCCTGGAGCCCAAAGTACGGGGTCCTTCCTGGGAAGATGTTGCTCTGCACTGCCCAGCGGTATGGGGTTGGCCAAGTCCCTGAGCCTCTCTTCTCCACAAGACCTCATCTTCCCTCCCCAGGGTCCCTTCCTTGGTGCGTCACGTTTAGTCACATTTAGTTGGTGCTCAGGGGCATATTTGGTGTGACTCGTGGTGAACAGTAAGCAGATAGATGAATGTCCATTTGTTCTAGGATCCGATCTAGGGGTGGAGTCTGTCCAGGTGGGCACTGACCCTGAGACTCAGCCTGGGGCACTTGGTGTTCCCCTTGAAGACCCCTTGGGCCTCTGCTTCAGGTGGGGCCAGCAGCCCATCCCCCACCCTCCGCCCCCAGCCCCCTCGTTCAACCAGATGAGACAGACACACAAACCACAGCACCGGAAGTGAACTTGGGGTGTGCATATGCAATGGCTGCTTCTCTCTTTTTCTTATAAAATACTCAGACTATTTTGAAATAATTTTAGATTTATAGTAGAGCCACAAAGACAGCACAGAAAGCTCCTAACTATCCTTCACCTAGCTTCCCCTAATGGGAACATCTTATAAACATGGTGCCTTTATCAAAACTAAGGCATTAACATTGATACAAGCTATCGGTAACACAACAGAATTCACTGGGATTTCACCAGTGTTCCCACTAATGTTCTTTTTTTACTCCAGGGTCCAACAATGCCTGCATTTGACAATGGGCCCAAGGGTAGAATCAGATTCCCCAAGGTCACGCAGGGAGCAGGTGGTAGAACCCAGTGGGCAGCTGTGGCCCTATAGGTGGCCCTGAAGGTAGCCCTGTAGGCCCCCTGCCCTCCTCACCCTCCCTACTCTGTCAAGAGACAGCGGTTTCTGCCCTGTAAAGGCCACTAAGCCTCACAGACACTGGTGACCCCCTCCTGACTGCCTAGCCTTGTCCCACCCCCACCCCTGTTTCCCCAAGGCTGCCCACCCCAGGCCTTCTTGGGGTGCTCATACACATGCAGGCACGTGCACACCCCAAGTGGGTGGCTCAGGCTTCACTCCGTGGGCGTGTCCCTCCCAGACCACTCCTGTCCACCACAAAGACTGGTCACCTGTTCTCGCAGCATCCCTCTCCTTTTAGGAATAAAGGACACCCAGAGTCTTTGTGCAAGGTTTCTCTTTCTTTTTGTTTTTATTTTTTCTTTTTGAGAGTCTCACTATGTAAGCTACAGTTCAGTCTGGCCTTGAACTCACTGTATAGCTCAGGCTTGGCTCGAACTCACAGCAATCCTCCTGCCTCAGCTTCCTGAGTGCTGGGATTACAGATGCCTGCCCAGCCTAGGCCTTGTTTTTGTCTCCTTCCCTCCCTCACTTTCCTCCTTCTGTCTCGGGGCTTTGCCACTCTGACCCCTGTCTCTTCCTTCCAAGCCCTTGAGCAATACTACCTCTTTGTTGTCTCAGCCAGCACTGTAGGAAGGAGCCTGCAAGACATCTGCCTGTTCTACTGCTTCAGCTGTGGCTCAGAACGGGTCTGATTGCCCACCTGACAGGAAAGGCGTGCTTCCCCCACCCCCTCGATAGTGGGGAGTGGAGCCGAGGTTTGTGGCAGCCTCTGTTCTTCCAGGCAGTTAGGCCGCCTGGTGTTTATCTTAGGACGCCTCTGAAGCTCCCAGAGCGTGGCCCAGACATGATCTCACTCTCTCTCAATTCATCCCTGGGAGGCAGAAAGGAGTCTGTAACCAAGGCTGCCCCACTTCACAGATGGGAAAACTGAGAGATACAAACACACAAGGAGCAAATATGTTGACAGCCTGCTGTGCAGCCCCTGGGGCCTGACCCTCACTCAGTCCAGTTGGTTCGGTTGTTTGGGGCATGGGAGTTCTTAGAGCTGTAGCCAGCAGAGATACTCAAGTCCTCAAAAACTTGTGGGCCCAAGGGCCGGGGATTTAGCTCAGTGGTTCTGCTGCCTGCCCCGCAAGTGCAAGGACCCGAGTTTGATCTCCGGGACCAAAAAAAAAAAAGCAAACTTGTGGGCCCATGACCTCACCAGGGCCCTGGTTTCAGGAAACGTTCAGCCAGCAGGACCTAAGGACACCAGTGACACGTGGCTGGGGCTTCTGACAGTGGAGCCCAGCTGTAGGGCATCTGGCCTTCATGTGGGAGCAACAAGGCCTGTGGCTGCAAGGGCCCAGCCTGCAGAGTTGGCCTGGTGCAGTGCCCCGTGCTGGACAATCCACACAGCACTGCCCTGGACACTTTGGCTTCCCAACACCCTGTAAAAGGAGGGTTGTTATTGCCTTGCACAGATGAGGAAACTGAGGCCACAATTTACCCAGGGGCACAGAGCCGGCCAGTCAGCAGCAGTGGGCCATCTGGCTTGAAGTCCAAAGCTCTGTCAACATCACCAAGCTTCTGTCCCTACATCCTGCCACCAAAGGGAGGTGCACACAGCCAGCAGGAGGGAGGAAGGGGAGGCCTGGACAGCCTAAGGAGCCCAGACTTGGCTTACTTGCCGATTCTTTCCAGCTGGCTCTGCCTTCTGTCCTGACAGGAGGTTAAAGGAAGCTCTGGGGAGGAAAGGTCAGGCTAGGAGAGAAGCAGGAGCCGCCCCAAAACAACCCACACCCTGTTCCCTGTACCCCGGCCCTCCACGGGCACAGTCTGCAGCAGAGAGGCCGGAAGCTGCGTGGGAAACGGTGGGGAGGTGGCTCTGGTGAGGGCTGGGCCGCTGACTCCTGGCCCGTCATCCCCATCCCAGCCCTTCCTCCTCCCTCCTCTGTCACATCTTCTGCCCAAACCAGTCATCTAGCACTTAGCCTCATACCCTCAGTTGATTTTATGACATGTCTGTGTCCATCTTTCCAAGTAGATCAGAATGTCCAAGGCCGCAGTCTGTGGGCCCATGACATTCAATACATTTTAAGGAAGTAAGGAGAAAGTTATTTGGGAAGCGATCATTCCGGCCAATGCCCTAGTTTTTTTGTGATAAAAGCAGACAGTGGGTCCCAGCGACGGGCCCGGGAGGCCCCGTGACGTCATTGACCTTGTGACGCCACTGTCCCGCGAAGGCTCCCAACACCCTGCAGGCAGGATGAGGTCACCGTCGGGACCCGCACAGACAAGTGCGCTCAGGGGGAATTAGCGAAATCGGCGGCGGGAGGCGCTCCAAGAGAGACTGAAAGAGAGAAAAAGAGGGGTGACAACAGCACCGCACAAGTGGGGCGAGGGTCCTTAAGGCGCCGGCCGGACTCCCCGCCCCCTCACGAACTGACCCCGCCCCCTCGGCGACCTACGCGGGCTGGCCAATCGGCGCAGGCCTCGGTGACGCGCAACCTATCAGCTTCCGCGTTCGCCCCGGCCGGAGTCTGCAGGGTGGGGGAGCAAGAGCCCAGAAGCCCACGCGTCCCAAGTTCTGGGATCCGCGGGGTCCCCGGGGTCCGCGCGGCTCAGATCAGCTGCTCCCCAAGAGACCCGATGGCCTCGGAAAGCCTGGAGGGGGAGCTGGCGTCCGTGCTGGGGGGCCAGGGACTGCGCGTGCCTCGCTGTGACTCCGAGCCGGCCGGCGAGCCTCGGGCGCCCGTGCGGCTGCGGAGGGACGTCTGCTACGTGGTGCTGGCCGTGTTCCTCAACGAGCAGGTGAGCGTCCCCCGGCGGCCCCGCGGAGCCTCGGGAGCGCGCAGCCAGCCCAGGTGGGGAATCGAAGAGCGACGGCCGCAGCCACCACCTGTTCACGGCGCGTCCCAGTTTTACAAAGCACTTTGACACTAGGATCCGAGCCCTGTGATTCTGCGGCTAGAGAGGAGGGAACCGAGGCCCCAGGCCGCCCGTCTCGTCCACTAGGCCTCAGCGCCCAGAGGAGAGGACTGTGGTCTTCGGCCTCGCTTCCCAGGAGCCTCTCGGGGGCCCTCTGCATGGCTGTCGGGGCTTCCGAGAGCTCCTGGCCCCACCGAGAGTAATGAGGAGCTTACACCGGACCCCCTGGGAGCTCTTTTTGGCGTTCATTCCCGTTCAGGTCGATGTAATAACAGTTGCAAGAGCCAGGGCCATAGGGCGGGGTCTCACAGGGTGGGGTAGAGGGAGGGGCCAGTTTCAAAGCCCATGCTGAGCTCGCAAAGCCTATGGGGAGGCAGAAGCTACACGATCACATAAAGACACAAATCAGTGTAGGACAGTGGCAACCCTCCCTCCGAGGCCCCCTCTCCAGCCCAGGAAGCGGCTCCCAGGGATCTCAGCCCCTTCATGTAACAGAACCTCTCTAAATCCAGTAGATGAATTATTGCAGAGGAGACAGCTGAGGCTGCTGGCCACACCCAGGCTGTCTCTGGGACCAATGCAAGGTGCCCACGAGGAAGGGAATCTTGGGGCACCGTGTTTGAGACCCGATGGGGAAAGCTGCTGGCTGTAGTGGGGGTGAAGAGTCTCTCTCTTCCCTCAGGACGAGGTGCTGCTGATCCAGGAGGCTAAGAGGGAGTGCCGGGGGTCATGGTACCTTCCTGCAGGGCGAATGGAGCCTGGGGAGACCATCGTGGAGGCACTGCAGCGGGAGGTGAGGGAGGAGGCCGGGCTGCACTGCGAGCCTGTGACGCTGCTGTCTGTGGAGGAGCGGGGTCCCTCTTGGATCCGTTTCGTGTTCCTCGCTCGCCCCACAGGTAGGGCCCACTTGGTGGCATGTGAGCAGGAACTGATTGCCACCTTTCCCTCAGCTTGTCCTCCTGGAAGATGAGCCCCTTTGCAGCCAGCCCTATTCTGACTGGTACTGGCTGATTATTGGCTGATTGCAGCCTGAGAGGTCATGGCTGGAGCGCCTGGGTGTTTTTTTACTCTGCCAGACCTGACACTACTCTTTTTTTTGGGGGGGGGGTGGTACTGGGAATTGAACCCAAGGCCTTTGCCCTGAGCCCTTATTTTTTATTTTGAGACAAGGGTTTCCCATGCTGGCTGAAACTTGGATTCCTCCTGCCTCAGCCTCCCAGAGTACACTGCCACACTCAGCTCCGATACTACTCGTAGCACACACCCTCCCCTTCTTTGTCCCCCTCCCTGTCCCCTAAATCTCCCGTAGGTGGAATTCTCAAGACTCTCAAGGAGGCAGATGCGGAGTCCTTGCAGGCTGGCTGGTACCCTCGGATCTCCCTGCCCACCCCGCTGCGAGCCCATGACATTCTGCACCTGATTGAGCTGGCCGCCCAGTACTGCCAGCAGGCCGGGCACCCTCTAATTCTGCCCCACGAGCTGCCTTGCAGTCTGGTCTGCCAGCGGCTCGTGGCCACTTTTACCAGCGTCCAGACAGTGTGGGTACTGGTGGGCATGGTGGGGACACCACACTTGCCGGTCACCGCCTGTGGCTTTACTCCCATGGAGCAGAGGGGTGGCATCAAGGTGGCCATTCTGCGGCTGCTGCAGGAGTGTCTGACCCTGCACAATTTGACAATAGAGACCAAGGGGTTGCTTGGACTGCAGCACCTGGGCAGAGACCATGCAGATGGCATCTGCTTCAGTGTCCTGGTGACAGTGGCTTTTCAGAACCCAGGAAGCCAAGATGAACCCCCTAAGGTTCAGGGTGAGAACTACTTTTGGTGGAAGGTGACGGAGGGAGACCTACAGAGCCAGCTCCTCCAGAGGCTCCAGGAATCTTCTGTTGTCCCTGTGAACAGATAGGGAGGGGCCAGCAGGCACCAGGAGCTGGGCAGCTGCGTCCCCTGCACGGGACTCTGCCTCCCTCAGAGGGAGGCAGGCAGGAGGCTGGCAGTCAGGGATCTTGGTGCATGGAGTGGTTCTCCTGGTCACGGGGGCTTCGTGCAGCCGCCCCCCCACCTTGCACCAAAAGAACAGTGCCTTTAACCACGAAAGGAGAGCAGAGCTCAAGGGCCTCAAGGGCCCGAAAGCCTTGAGGGCACATGGATGCTTCTTACTTCCAGGGCCCAGGAGCTTCTGAACCCTTTGCCTACCATGTTGAAGACCTGCATGCTGATCCTCTTGGGCTTAGAACTTGGAAGGGGACACAGGGAGGTCCTTGAAATAGAGCCCCTTGCTGAGTAAATAGTGTTGTTCACCCTTCCCTTCTTGCCCAAATGTCTCTGTTGGGAGGAAGTGTGGGGCTCTTGCCGGAACTGCCACTCCCTGTCCCACCAACAGCCACGCAGAGCTTTCCTGATAGCTGCCAACACTGCACGCCACTGCTTTCCGCGGCAGCCCCCAGCCCCCAGCCCCCAGGGCTGTCTCCATCCTTCCCTGCGGAGCAGGAGGTGGCTGTGAGAGAACCAGGTCCCTAATGAAAACACAGCCCAGACCCCAAGGGGTCGAGCAGTGGGGATTCTGGGAAGCTACAGAAGGGGCAGAAGCCAAAAGTGTCAAAAGTGTTTCTTTCTCCTGAGCTTCCAGGCTCTGGTCCCTACCCACCCACTCTTGCCTCTGCCTTTTTATACTTTCAACCCAAGCCAGACTAACTCTCTTGGTTCCCCTCAGCCCAGCAGTCATAGCAGGATTTTTCTTTTTTAATAAAAGAAATTTAGTGGAAAACCACAGTTGATGAGCAAAGTATGTCGTGTGTGAATCACATCTAGATTTCTGGTTCTGAGCAGGGAAACACAACTGGGATTCCCTTCTCCTAGAGTCCACTGCCCTCTGGCCCAAGGGCCAGGGGACTCCTGGGCCCTTCCCAGCCCCTGCCTGCCTCTGTAGGCCACCAACTTGTCTCTCTGGCCTCGGTGAGAGCCACAGGAATCTTGGCCCCCTCTGAGGACATCTGAATGACAGACCAAATCCTTTTATTCTGTTCCCTCTTAGTGTCTACCCCCAGCCCATACCCACTTAGAAGGACAGTGGTAGTCATTCCCACCAACGGTTTAGCTTGGTAGTTTTCAATGCTGGACAGATACTAGAATCACCTGGAGAGCTTACAGACAATCTGTCCTCCCTCACAGTGAACTGCCGGAGGGGCTGAGCACTGGCATTTTAAAAAGCACTTCATTTTTTTCTGTTTTTGAGACAGGGTCTCCCTATGTAGTTCAGGCTGGCCTTGAGCTCAAAGCAATCCTTCTGCCCCAGCCTCCCAAGTGCTGGGATTATAGGTATGCACCACCACACCTAGCTAAAAAGCATTTTAAAAAGTTGGGAGCCACTGCAGGACCCTTCTCCAAGTTCTCAGCCTGCCTGGCCCCGGATGCTGGGGTGATCCCTCAGAAGCAAACTCCTCTTTCCTCCCCACACATCCATGGACAGATCTGTTAAACATCTGGCACTGTCTGTGACTGAGTCCTGTAGCCACAACCTAAACACAGGGACATGAGACCACAGATTTCCCACCTGGCCTGTCCCCCTCGTGGTGGCCTGGACTGGCAGGCTCAGCCACAGGTGAGCTGGCGGGTGTGAAGTGTGACTTACACTGCTAGGACTCAACTCCGTACCACCCTGCTGTGCTCCAGGGCTGGAGAGAGATGGGAACTTATCTTCCTTGGAGTAGAAGATGGGCCTAAATCAAAGAAGCTCTGGCAGGGGGTGGGAAGGCTGGAAAACAGAACCACTGTGTCCACACAATCACACTGTTTATTGCTGTGCTGTCTGGGGAAGACACCGTGCAAATGCCAAAGTGCATTGATTAGAGGTGAGAATCCATGCCTCCCAGGCCCTCCAACATTTGAAGAATCCCAAAGTCCAGACCCAGTTCACCCGCTGAGATCTGCCCCTTGCCCAACACCGGCACCCGTGTGCACATAGGCACTTGAAGGCGTGCAGTGTTCTTTGGGGCAGCAGCTAAGTCCTCCCCCGCTGGGAGGAATGCGGGAGAGGTAGAGGTCACTGAGTTTCTCCTCCTTTCATGTCACCTTTTGGCAACCTGCGCCCAGCTTCTAGAAGAGTCATGGGCAGGAAAGGGAAGCAAAAGGGGCTCTGGCCTGCTCCTCCTCGCCCAGGAGCCGGGCCAGCAACTGCAGTCCCACTGTGAGGTAATGCCTGGCACCTCCGGAGTGTTCCTGCAGGTCGAGACAGATTCAGCCCAGGTGGGGAGGCAGCCCCAGCCGCAGAGAGCATGCAAGAACTGGCTGCCTGGGCCTGGGCCCTTCCTGGTGGGCCTCGGGGGGCTAGAGTCAGGGATTCTGTCTCATCTGGACCCCAAGCTCCAGTGGCCCCCACGAGGGCCATCCATCAGGAACACTGGGCAGAGCGGGATCTGGAGGATGAAGCCCGGCCTCCCCTGGTCACTGACCTCTACCCAGGTGTTGCGGACCTGCTGAGACGGGTTCAGAAGGCGCCAGAGAGGAACCAGCCGGGGAAGTAGGCAGGCACCCAACTCCGAAGCTCCAAGGCCCTTGCCCGCCCTGGCCGCTGCTGCACCAAGGTTCTCATTAGCAGCTGCCCCCGCCTGGGCGAGGAACATGCTTTGGGCATTTGCCATGAGGCGGTTGGGAATTTTGCAACGGCCTCCGGGAGGGCAGGGCAGGAAGAAGGGGCTTTCCCTGCAGTCTCTTTCACAGTCTGCTCTCCAGAACTCGAACCAAGAAGGCAGGGAAAGCCTGTCAAATTGCAGCAGCTTCCATGGTACCAAATGTGACAGTCAGGGCTCCGCCTGACCCCAGGCTCTCTGGCCTGGATTCCCAGCTGGCCTTGGAGCCAGCATCACCCATGGAACTGTCACCGGTCGTGACTCTGACCACACATGGCCAGTACAGAGTGAACAGTCAAGACAACACGCAAGACTCAGGGTCCAGGTGCAAGCCAGCTGTCACCCAGCTCCTCCAAGAAGGCCCCGAGGAGAACACGCTGCCCCGGAGGCTGCCTCTTTTGCTCCTGGCACCTCTGAGGTCCACTCCCTGGAACCCAAGCCTGTGTGGTCAACAGGCTGAGGTCCTGAGTCAGCCCGGGAGCTGAAGCCCCCCAGGCCGGAGAGGAGCTGCAGCAACAGGGCCCAGCAGGAGGCGGCTCCTGGGCAGCGGCAAGGACAGGAGTCTCCCGCCCGACATGCTCCCAGCTCAGACATGCCCTTCCAGGGGCGAGGAGAAGTTCAGCTGAGGACCATGATCGGGGGGGAACTTGACGAAGGCGATGGCTGCCAGCTCCTTGCAGAATTCCTCCAGTACTACTACACCCTGCAGGAGGGTCTGGTGGTCCAGCCTGAGGGGGACAGCATGGGGTGGGGGACAGCTGAGAGGTGGCAGGCATGTACACTGCCCAAGTCCACAAGGCTCGATCGGGTGGCCAGACACCTGCCCAACCCACTTCCAGGGTTACTTACTGCTCCCCAGGGACCTGTCCCATCAGCTGCTTGCGTACCAGGAGCAGTTTGCCCGAGAACTGGGGTATCCTCTGAATGCGCTGCATCAAGTCCCCGATCACCTAGGCCGGGAGCCAGGGAGGCCTGAGGACAGGCCCAGACGCATTCCTGCAGGCTCCCCTTGCTCTGGTGCCATGCACTTTCCCTGGCATTGCAGGGTTCCCCTTGCCCTGTTCCCTGCCCTCCTGCCCCCTGGCATCCTTACCCTGACCAGCACAGAGAACAGGCTCCTGCAGCCAGGGGCCAGGTTGATGTAGGGATCCAAGAGGTACTCGTGGATGTGGGGGTGGGGGAAAAGGGCAAGCCGGGACAAGACTGAGGTCACCTGCAGGTTCAGGCTGTAGGGCTGTAGGGAACAAGATGGACGATGCTGAGGGTTGGGGGGGTAGTGCTGAGCATTTTTGTGCTCCCCCAGCGAGGCGCCTGGCTGGTGTGAACATGTGCGGGGGTGGGAGACTCACGTGACGCGTGTGTGTCATGGATTCCCTGGGGCTGAGGGCCAGAGCATGTCAGGGCGTGTGGAACAGAGGCGAGATGGAACTGCCCACCCGGGGACAGGCCAGGGGGCGGGGTGGCATACAGCCCACGGGGGGTGGGGTCAAGCCCCATGGCCAGTACCCGCTGTCCTCAGACTCCAGAGGCCCAGCCTGGACTTCTCCTGGGCCGTGTCCCATTGGTTACCTGATCCAAAATCCGGGCAATGCGACTGAATAGCACTCGGAGGAAGTGACCCTCAAAGAAAGGCCGTTCTGGCTCATGGGGATCCAAGGGTGTGGGAGTCTGGGGCCAGCCCCAAGGGGCAACACGAGAGCTGCACTCCTGGAACTGAAACACAGCGGGCAGAGTTGAGGGACCCCACCCAGGAAGGGAGGGCTCTGGCACCTGGGGCACAAAATCTAAGGCATTTTTCAACCCGAGGGGTAGGACTGATGAGGAGGGTCACTGCAGAGCCTCACTCACCAGTCCGTAGGCATCGTGGACGTATGTGTCATACCCGGTCTCCTCCAGGAAGGCTGAGGTCTTGGCTTCCTCAGGGACCAGGCAGAGGAAGCTGAGAGACAGGAGCCAAGGTGTGGAGCTGCTTCCCTGGGACCCCCTGTGCTTCCCAGCTGCCCGGACCCGAGACAAGGCGACACAAGTGGCTCCAACTGCCTAACCTGCTCCCCACCTGTTGACGATCTCTGTCACTGCTGTTTTGCCATCTGAAGCGGCCGGAGCCGGGCGAGGCTTTGCAGAGGGCTGGAGACCAGGAGCGAGGAAGCCATCTGTGAAGTAGGGGTCTTCCTCCAGATCTCTGTGGCCGGCGCACAGCAATGAGCACAGGAATAATGGGTGAGTGAGTAAATGCGCATGGGTGTGCCCGGGGTTGGCCTGGGATTCCTGGTTCCACTTACACGGCGTCCTCGTAGCTCTCGGGCTCTGGTGAACACCGGGCCACGTACAGGCGGCCCTCCAGGTTGCACAAAACCATGCTGTGGATGAGCCCCTCGTGGGGCTTCTGCAGCAGCTCCTCGAAAAGCCGCAGTGTGGCGATGCTGATCTGCAGTGAGAGGGCTCAGTGGGGTGGCCTCCCCGAAGCCCCTTCCCTTCTAGTGCCTGGGAACTGCTGGCCTAGATAAGAAGTCCTCTAAGGCGTGGTCATCTCTCCGAGCTAAGGACCATGGTAGCAGGTTTCAGGCTCATGAGTGGGTGATGGCCCAGGAAGTAGGGAGTCTGGATTGTCCCTGTACCGGTACTCAATTTTTTTTCTTTCTTTTTTTTTTTTGGTAGTACTAGAATTGAATCCAGGGGCATTCTACCATTGAGCTACACCCCTAACCCTTATTTTATCCAGAGAGGGGTCTTGCTACACTGCTCAGACTGGCCTTGAAATTTGGATCTTCCTGCCTCAGCCTCCCAAGTAGCTAGGATCACAGGTGTGTGCCACTGTGCCTGGCTCCATTAATCATATGATATGCCTTCTCAGGCATGGCCACTGGCTTCTCAGTGCCTCGATTTCCACATTTGAAAACTGGGACTCTGAGCCTCCTCTACCTCACAGAGCGCTCCAATAAGCCAAATGAAGCTGGCTGTAGTGGCACGTGCCTGTAATCCCAGCACTCTGGGAGCCTGAGGCAGGATGACAAATGCCAGCCCAGCCTGGGCAACTTAGTGACTTAGAGAGACCCTGTCTCAAAATAAAAAATAAAAACAGGTTGGGGATGAAGGCCCTGGGTTCAACCCCCAGCACTGAAAACAAAGAAAGCCAAATGGCTAGGAAAGCAGTTTGTAAAATATACAGTGCCAGGGCCAGGGATTTAGCTCAGTGGCACCACACCTGCCTTGCAAGTGCAAGGTCCCGAGTTTTATCCCCAGTACTGAGAAAAAAAGAAAAAAAATACACTGCCATAAAGAATGTGTGATCACAGGAAAGTACTGTGAGGAAAACAGCTTGGCAAGCCCAAGCAGGGAGGTGATCGGGTTGCAATCACCTTGTCACTGCTTTGAGAGGCTCAAGGTGACTGGCACAGGCAGAAGCACTCAGGAAATGTGCTGTGGGTGACGTAGGGAGAGGAAGGCAGAGCTGAGGGCTGCTCTCTCACCTCGTCCGAGAGGTGGTCACAGTGTCCGATGAGGTGGTCGCACAGGGTGTGGGGACTGTCCTCGGCACCTGTAGGCTGTCGGCGGGAGCCCAGCAGGAAGGCCACAGCTTCCTGCAGCAGCGTGGGGGAGCGGAGTTGGTGCAGCATGGCCGTCAGCAGGGCAGTGGAGGTCAGGATGCTCTGCTCCGACCTGTGGGTGGAGGCCCCTTAGCCAGACCAGCCTGTGCCAAGCCAGAGGCAGCAGAGGAGGAGCAGGGGGTGGTGCGGGCTGGGATGCAGCGCCCCCTTCCTGCTTGTCTCACATCTTTGGATAATGTCTCTGGCCACGTCCCCGTCCCTACTGAGGTCCTGTGAGTACAGGTGGGAGGCCATCAGGCCTGGCGAGTGTTAACCAGCAGAGTCCACGGATGTGACTCCAGCCAAGGAAGACCCTGCCCTAGGGCCAGGAAGGGGCTCAGTGGAGTGGGCAGGACACAGATGTGGGCCAAGAGCAACAGAACAGGACAGACACTCACACGTGTAGGAGTTGGGGCTGCAGAGTGTTCACAAACAGCCTCTCGGCCACGACCTTTGCCAAGACATCAGCAACCACCTGGGGCAAACAGCATGTCTTCACCATGTTTGCACCCATTACAGCTGCCCTGGGAGTCCCTGTGCCTTTGTGCAGCAGGGCTAACTGGCCCCAGCTCACTAAGCATTTGCTCTACTCTCTCCTCAGGATTAGGCGGTGAGGGAAGCCACGAGAGCCGTGGCTGCACCAGCCCCTGCTCACCGTGTGTGCCTCGGTAATAAGGTGGTCACAGTAATCAAACCAGCCCAGGAAGGCAGCCAGGGCCTCCTTGCCAGGGAAGGACACCTCATCGGACGGGGCACTGGGCAACCTAGGGGAGAGGGAGGCAGGAAGTCTGGAGGGTGAGGGGGAAGCTTCAAGGTCTTCTGTCCTTCAAGGACGTCTGGGAGCTGCCCTCTCCCTCTCCTCTGGAACCTCTGTTGCTGGGCTCAGTTCCGCTGTGGCTTTGTGGTCAAAGACTCTGGGAATGTGCTGTCACCTCGGGAGGAGGGTGGCCAGCAGGGTCCCCATCCCATGTGGAACCCCACAGGAGCTGGCTACCAGCCCGAGATGTTGTCCAGCCTTCCCCAGCCAGGCCCACCTCCAGCTGATGCCCTCTAAGGTGGCGATGTCTGCGGGGTGGAGGAAGGCAGGCAAGGACCGGTACAGTTGGCATAGATGTTCTGCAATTGCAACACAACACGGGGTGCTCTGCGCCAGGTAGGTAGCAGCTGCTGGGGAGGCCACGCTTACCAGGAGTAGCAGATTCTCCTGGGCCTTCAGGACCACCCGACCCTTCTAGGAGATGAGGATACAGCTTCAGGGACATGCATTCGAACCCCCAAATCACCTCCCAGCCATTCTCCCCTTCCCTGATTCCACCCCAAATTCACCTGCCCACCACCATCTCTCAGCCAGCACCTTGCTCTGGCACAGCCCCAGCAGGGAGGTGATCAGGTTGCTCTCCCCAGGTCCATCTGTCCCCTCAGTCTCAGCAGGCAGGTGGCTGTTCAAGGCCTGGGCCCCACAGTGCTCCCCATCCAACTGGGGGCCCCTGTCAGGAGCACAGTTCTGACAACAGTCCTTGTCCCTGTGGCTGGCTGTGTCTTTAGACAGAGCCAGAGACTCTCTGGATGACTTCTTCTTCCCTATAATCTTTTTACCCTGAAAAGAAGGTGGGGGGAGGCCGGCAGAACATTCTGAAGGCTCCACTCTTAAACAGTGCAAAGTGGAGCCAAATATGGTGGTGCACACCTGTAATCCCAGCACTCTGGGAGGCTGAGAAAGGAGGATGGCAAGTTTGACCCCAGCCTGGACAACTTAGTGACTTAGTGAGACCCTGTCTCAAAATAAAAAAATAAATAAAAGAGGGCTGGGGGCCCAGAGATTTAGCTCAGTGGTTTTGCCAACTGCCTCGCAAGTGCAAAGTTTCAAGTTCGATCCTTGGTACCAAAAGAAAAAAAGGAGTGCAGGTGGGCAGCAGGCAGGGCCTCAGCTAGAGCTGCAGGGAAGCTGCCCGAACACCTCTCCTCCTGCTTCCTTGGAGGCCTAGAGAGCGTCCCCTGGGTCCCCACCTCCCCCGCCCACTGCCCACAGGGTGCTTACTTCCAGGATGTAGGTGAGCAGCTCCGGGTCCTGCTGGATCTTGGAGCAGAGGACACTGGTGAACTGCACCTCCTCCTTTTCTGTGAGGGACCCAGGGACTGCCCCTCCAAGCTGGAGAAGTTTCTAGAAGGGAAACAGGGCAGAAACAGAGGGAAATGGGGTGGCAGGAAAGGGGGATGTGTGCCCGGCTGCCTTCAGCTGCTGGTCTCACCTGCACGGGCCTGTGGACGCTGAAGTAGTGCAGCAGCGGGTGCTGCACCTCAGCCAGGACTTTGCTGAAGAACTGGAACACCTGCTGCCGCATACCTGGGGGGTACTGGGTCAGAACAGGGTGCTGTCAGAGGGGGGCCACAGCTCCCTGCCCAGACCCTCTTCCTGAGGGCACAGGGCTCCCCGCCCCAGGCCACCTTCCCAAGCAGGCCTCCTTCCTTTGCCACAATGCTTGAAACTGGCCTTCCTGTGCTTCCAGCCCTCCATCCTGCCTTAGTTTTCTCCATGTAACTGGGTCATTATTGAGCATGACACCTGGCCCTCCATACCCACAGGTTCTACACCCATGGATTTAACCATCCTCAGATCAAAAATGTTAAAGAATAATCACATCTGCCCCAAACATGTACAGCCTTTTTTCTAGTCATTATTCCCTAACCAATGGTACATCACAACCATTTTCATAGCATTTATATTGTATCAGGTGGCCTAAGGCAGCTGGAGACCATTTAAAGGTATAGGAGGATGTGTGTAGGTTATATGCAAACACAGTGTCTCATGGTATCCATGGAGACTGGTTCCAGAAACCCTGAACCCAGATTTATATGAGGCTTGTGTCTCCATGATTTTCATGTCTGAAGGGACAGGAAACAATCTTCCTTGGATAACAACTGTACGCAATTATCCTGCCCATCACCCACAGGCATCCTTGTCAGTTTTTAATCACTGCCACGTCCCTGGCATCGAGAACTCAGTGCCAGCTGGGACAGTGGCATTCAGGGGCCTGGCTGGGGTAGAAGTTTCCAAGCGCCCTGGGGTGGGCATGCCCACCTCAGCCTTGCCCAGCGTGCACAGGGTCTCCAGGATCTTGTGCTGCAGCAGGTACTCCAGACAGGGCCCAGCCTCGCCTGCAGTCGCCTGCTGCCGCTCCTCATACACCAGGATGTCCAGCATCTGCTTCAGCCGCCAGGGAATATCCGTCTTCTTGGCAGGGGTGTTTTCATCTGACCGAGATTCGGAACACAAGGGTGAGTGGAGTAAAAGGCACTAGGGCTTCAAACTGGCAGCCCCTCCCGCCAAGTCCAGAAGGGAGAAGTGGAGGTGGGAGATGGGGAGGGGCTGGGACACCAGGAAATGGAACTTTACCGCTGCGTATGTGAAAAGACAGAAGTCCTGTTGGATGAGGCCAGGACGCGGGCCCCTCTCACTGAGAATGTCTATTTGCCCCAACACTGTGTCAGAGGACGGCTCACGGTTCTCCCCCAAGCCCTGGGACAAGGACATACCCTGGCTGTGCACAGGACAGGATTGGACAGCTGCCTGTCTGCTCTGGCCTGAGAAGCTGGGGCTCAGAGATCTATCATACAATTTAGAGGCCATTATTTCAGCAGCTTCCTGAGCAGCGATCTCCTGGGGCCTGGTTATGTCTCTTTGCTGCTGTTCACAGAAGGCAGTACTGTTTTCTGCAAGGCAGAAAACAATCTGTGCACCACATGCACACACCTGCTCCGCCACCACTGGGGCGATGCAGGCATCAGTCTGAGGGGGAGGTGTTTCCAGAGAAAGCTTTGGAACAGTCCTGCAGCACCCTCTAGCTTTTCTCTAAGGCATAGGTTCTTGAGCTAGAGGCAGCTGCCCTCACGCTCTCCCCGGATGTCTCTGGTTTGAGACCTATTCTGGAAATTAAAGGAGTGAATGCAGGTGGGCCCTACTCTCCTGTGGACTGGGGCTCCAGGATAATCTCACCCTCCAGGGAACACCTGGAGACATTTACAGCTGTCACGATAATCACGACAGGGGGACAGTACTAGCATCTTAGTTGTCAACAGACTATGGTGGGGAACATTCTCCCCACAATGACAGTGATCCTGTCCAAATGCCAACTGTGCCCTAACTGAGAAACCTGGTCTAATGGAACTCACAGAGGGTCACCAGAGTGCTCAAAAAGCACTTTGTAATTTCTTGGGCTGATTCAAACTTTTTAAAAGAAAGCCTTTAGGAAAGATGTATGCTGGAATCAGACCCAGTCTGAACTCCAGGGAGATGGAAAGCTAGGGATACAGGATTTGGTTACCTGGCAACCAGTCTGTATCCACCAATACATGTATACTAACTACAGAGCAGCCAATCAGACTGTGCCCTTCAGTGAGTGACCCCGGTGGGCCAGGCAACCTGAGGCTTTGGGTCTCTGTGGTACCAGCTAGAAGAGAAGGACTTAAGCATGTTCCTTACCTTGGTTTTTGGTCTCCTCCTACCCCTGATCTCTCCAAGGGAAATGTCCTTAAATTGGCTCAAGGAGAGGGGGAATCTATTCCATTTCTTTTATATATATATATTTTGTTGTTGTTGTTGGATTGTTTTGGTACCGGGGATCAAACTCGGGCCCTTGCGCTTGCGAGGCAGGCTGTCAGAACCATTGAGCTAAATCCCCGGGCCTTCCCACCTCTTTGTCCCAATATGTCCCTCACGTAGCTCCACTCCCAAAAGGTCAGGGCTGGGCCACCAATTAAGGCACGAACACCAGAGGTGAGCAGGTCTCCATTAGCTGGGCACCAACTCTAGCAATGGATGTCACCTTCCCCTGTACTGTAACTTTCTGCCCATGTCATCCTCCTAGCTCCCTCCCAGGGTCCCTGGGCTAAGGAGAAGCAGGCCACACCTGTGCTCTCGAGGTAGTAGTGTGTGATGCCCTTCCAGTGCTCCACGAAGGCCTCTAGCAGGTCGATGCTGGGCTCCCGCTGCAGAGAGAGCAGAGACACAGCCTCAGTGGGAGTCCGATGACCATGGGTCCACTGCCACTGACATTGACAGGGACACACACCCATGTGCCTGCTCAGTGCTTGGGTAGGCAGGCACCAGGCCCTGGAAGAGGTGCCAAGCCCTGGCTTTTCAAAAGAAAGAGTAACATGTCTCTCCAGGACAAAGCAGCATGGTCACTACCACCTGCCTCCCCTGTCCCCATCCCAGAGGAGCTAAGCATGTTGGTGAGGATACAGACACTAAGCATTCCAACTCAACCTAGTCCTCTACAACAGAGGGACAGCCAGGAACACAAAGGGGACCCCAGAATGACAACTGGAATGGCTAGGATGGAACACATTGTAGAGACAAAGCTTTTCGGTCCCTTTCAAGTAGACCATCTGCAATCTGTTCAAGGCTATGGCAGGCTGTACTCAGCCAGGCAGGTAACATCAGCACAATCTAAACGAAGAACCTTACAATGTGTTTTCCTCTTCCATCTAAGGCCTCGGGTCATCCCCAACTCCTTAGCCTGCCCTGCTGTCTATGGGCCCAGAGTTCTGACACCACTCATCCCCACTTCTCTGAGAATGCTGTCTCCGTCTCCGGGCTCTGGCTGGAACTGGTCTTGAAGTGATAATGACCACTTGCCCTGAAAACTCCAATTAAGGCCATTTCTCCTCTTTTCTTGCAGAGTAAATGTATGCAGAGAAAGCTGAAACATCGAACAGGTGCTCATCTCCACATCCAGCTTTTTGCTCAGACCACTCACTGCCCCAGGGGCCCTATGTCCCTCTACACTTGTCTAGGTCCAAAGAGGCCCCAGTGAGGTCCAGCAAAGGGCTGGCAGCTCCACACAACCCTCTCCAGGGCTCCACCTGCCTGCTTCTCTCCAGCCTCAGTTACGGCACCACAGAGGTGGGCATCTAGTGATCAAGTTGTTCAGGAAATATCTTGTGAGTGCCTACCAGTCCAACTAACACTCAGTTGGAAAGAAACATGCCACCAAGAAGATAATATAAAGCCACCCCGAGTAACTACACTACCAAGGGCATAGTGTGAGGCCCCAGGAGGGCTAGGAAAGAGGGGTCACTTCCAAAGGCGGGAACAGGAGAGGCTTTCTGAGGCCACTCCTTAACTCAAATGTGAACTGAGTCAGCTTGCCCAGCTAAAAGGCAGTCACAGTATTACCTGCTGAGGAGCTCTGCAGAGAGCACCTGGGAAAGGGTGGGATGAGGAGTGTGTGGGCCTCTAAGGCCAAAGCAGAAGCCTGCAGATATTTTGTAGGCAGCTAAGAGCAATCAATGCTACCTTCTAAGCAGTATTCTGGGAAGATTCAACTGGCACTCAGTCTCTTGTGGAAGAGACAAAGGCAGGAAGATCTCTAGGAAGCCCGTGGCTATGGGGGAGCAAGGCACACGGCCGAGTCAGGGACCTTGAAGCACTCCCGACCCTCGCTGTAGGCAATCAGTCTTCTTTCTGTTAGTTGTAAGGGCACCTCTTCCTGGAGTGGCACCGCCCAGAGTCCTTCCCAGTCTTCCATCCACAAACGACTCCATCCCATCACCCTCTAGGTGAAGCCGCTCCTGCTGGGCTAAGCTGACATCCCCACTGGCCTGGGGGTTCCCTGAGGCTCAGAGCTCTGCATTTTACACTTGGCTGCCCTAGAAGGGCTCTGCCCTTCTGCATGCAGTGAATACCCACAGCCTTCACCAACTTATCTCCGCAGGCTCTGAAGACACCCTTTCATGCTCCTCGTCCAAGAAAGCACTGGGACCCCTGGCCAGCAAGCGCCATAATGAACTCAGTTTCTGTAGTCTCACCTAGCCTCAGCTTTCATTTATTAGCCTACAAAAACCTTGGGCTGGGATTCAACCAAAAGGAACACTCAGGTACAACCTGGAGACCCAGAGGGCAGGACAGACAGCACAGGCTTCGGCAGAGAAGGCATGGCTGAACTCTACTGAATCTGTACCAGCTACTGTAACACCAGGCCAAAGCAACTGTACCAAAGAATTTCTTTTTAAAGATATTCTTAGAGCCTTACTGGTCAGGAGAGGACAGGGCTGAGCCCTTTTCTGGCATCACATGTGACTCGATAACCCAGCCTAGGAAAAGACCTAGATCCTAGATATATGGGTGGAGTGAAAAAGAGGGATTCCCTTGTCCCGAAGGTGCAGCCAAAGCCAGGGCATCCTCTACGTGCTGCAGACTGAGGCCCAAGTAGACGATCCCCACTCCCAATATCTCCAGCCACCAATGTTTCCCGCATTGCAGGCAGCAGAAATTCACCCCTCAGAAATTCCTCTTAAGGAATAAGAGCCAGGAATGGTGGATTCCCAGGAGTTCAAGGCCAGTCTGGGCTACATAGCAAATCCTGTTTTAAAAAACTGGAAAAAAATTAAGACATAGTTGTTCATCCCTCCAATCCTCCTTGTAAATGAAGTCTTCAACAGAGGTATGGAATGGTTTATCAGTCACTTTCTAAGGGGACAGCTGCTTTGACTGGGCACAGGGAGAAGGGATGGAAGGTCATTTTGTAGTCTTTACTGCATGGGGCCCCAGGCCCTGCCCCTGGGGCAGAGCAAGATTAGGGAGGTGGAGAACCAGAGGGGGGTGTGGACGTTTCTCACTTTCTCCACAAGTCTGCCGGAAGGGGAGGTGAAACCCAGGGCTGCTTCTCCTGAGACAATCTGATACCCGAAACTCATCAGTTACGAGTGGATTTAGACTAAGAGATGAAAGAACCGACGTGGGCTGCCGGGGACCTGTCCTTGGCCCTCACAAAGTGACAGTGAAAAAGCAATAAACTCCGCACACAGGCAGGCAGGCAGGCCCACCCACCGAGGTCCTCCAGATCAAGGTGGGTCTGGTTCGCGGGATGCGAGGCAGGAGCGGACCGGTATCCCCGGGGCTCGGTGGCCCCGGGCGCGCAAGGCCTCGCTCACCTCCCAGGGCCCTGGCCGCCCGGGCCCGCGTTTCCCACGCAGAGAGGGGGCGCCCTGCCGGGAGCCGAGGCTTGGAATTGTCGGGTGGGCTCAGAGGAAGGGAAGGGGCGGTGAGGAGGCCGGGAGGAGCAAGGTGGCTGACAGCGAGGGCCCGGGCAGAGCTGCGGGGGAGCCGGGGAGGAAGTGACTAAGTGGCCCCGGCGAGCTTTGAGAGAGGAGCGTCAGGGGCCGGGAGCTCTGAGCGCAGGAAGCAGAAACAAGAAGCGGTTCCGGGCGCAGGACCGGGAAGCGGATCCGGGAACGCGACGCGTCCGTGCAGAGCTGCTGGGAGCGCACGCGGGGCGCGACGGGCGCGACCCGACACCACAGGCCCCGAGGCAGCCCCGGCCCGGGGAGGGTCCCTGCCCGCGGGGCCCGCGCCCGCCCGCCCCCCACTGCCCCGCGCCTCACCGCCCCCACGGCCTCCTGCAGCAGCGCCCCGAGCCGGCTCAGCATGATGGCGGCCCGGCCGGGTTCCGGGCGGCAGCGGCGGCGGCGGTGGCGGCGACGGCGGGGGAGGAGCCGGGGCGGATGGGGGCGGGGAGGTGGGCGGGGAGGCCCAGAGCCCCGCCCTGGCCGCGAGCTCGGGGCGTCACTGCCGCAAGCTGGTCCCAGGAGAGCGCGCCCCACACCTGCCCCAGCCGCGCAGCGGGGAAGCGCGCAGTCCCGCGAGGCGCCCCAGGGAGCAGGTGGCCTCCAGCGATTGGGCCTTGAAGAGGGGTCCCTCAGAGGGGGACAGGGTGATTTCCTCCTTGCGGAGTTAGAATTCCTTCTTAATTGAGAATGCGGGCTCCAGCCTCGGCATCCCCAGCCCTGACCTATACAGCAGCCTGGGCTGCACAGGACCGGAAGCGCTGGTCTTGTTTGATGTGCAGAGTCCGAGGTACCCCAGATTTTTAAACACATGATAAGAAAAACTAGCTCCCTGATCATGTTTTATATTCGGTGCATGTTGCAACCGTAATGGACTAGGAATATTGGCTTAAATGGAATATACTGTTAATTTCACTAATTGCTTTGTACTTTTAAAATTATTTAGTTTTTTAAAACTTTGGAGGAAGGGGCCGGGAATTTAGCTCAGTGGTTCTGGCGCCTGCTGCGCAAACGCAAGGTCCCGAGTTCGATCCCCGGTACTAAAAAAAAAAAAAAAAGAATATATATTTTAGGGCCGGAGATTTAGCTCAGTGGTTTCGCTGCCTGCTGCACAGGCGCAAGGACCCCAGTTCTATCCCCTGTACCAAATTAATAAATAAATAAAATTTCTTTTGGTACCAGAGATCGAACTCAGGACCTTGAGCTTGCCAACAGGCACAGTACCGCTGAGCTATCTATATCTCCGGTCCTTAATTGGGTTTTTTTTTCGGTACCGGGGATCAAACTCTGGACCTCGCACTTCCGAGGCAGGCAGTGGAACCACTGAGCTAAATCCCTGGCCCCGTAAATTGGGTTTTTTTGAGAGAGGGTCTCACTTGGTAGTTCAGACAGGCTTTGCTCTGAATTCACTATGTAACACAGACTGGCCTGGGGCTGGGATTACAGGCGTGCCCCACCACGCTTGGCTTGGACACCCCAGATTTTAAAGACATGACGGAAAAAGGAAAATGTTAACTAGCTCCCTGATCATACTCTATATTGATTACAAATTGCAACAGTAATGGACTGGGAATATTGAGTTAAATAAAGTATATTTTTGTTGTTGTTTAGTTTTTTTGAGACAGTCTCACTATGTGTTCCAGCCTGGCCTTGAACTCATTATGTAGCCCAGGATGGCCTCCAGTTTGTGGTGATCCTCCTGCCTCGGCTTCCAGAGTGCTAGGATTGGAGTCCGCCAGCATACCTGGTTTGAATTTCTATTTTTAAGTGGCTAGTGGAAAATGTTAAACAACACATGTTCCATTATGTTTTTATTGCACAGCCTGCTCTAGGGGTTCCTTGTACCCTTCCAGCTACACCAAAGAAAGAAAGAGAAGGTAGGTCTCCCGGATAGGCAGCAGGCCTGGGAAGTCATGCCCAGGAACTACACAGGCAGGGCCTGCCACTGAAGCAGGCTTCCTGGAACATCAAAAGTGGGGCCTTAGGGATCCCTACACTAGCTCCATCTCTACCTCTTCCCCCAGCAACAGAAAGAGATTGTTCCTAACAACAAGAAGTCTCCTTCAAATGTATTTCTGAGCTGCGCATGGTGGCTCATAGCTGTAAAACCAGCACTCAGGAGGCTGAGGCAGGAGGATCACTTCAAGTTCAAGGTCAGCCTGGACTACATAGTCCAAGACTAGCCTGAATTACATAGTGAAACCGTTGTTTCAAGCCCTCTACCACCACCAAAAACTGTTATTTTTAGGCGAGCTGTGTGACACACACGTGAAATCCCAGCACTCTGGGAAGCTGAGGGAGCAGGATGGAAAGTTCAGGCCCCGCTTGGGCACTTTAGTGACTAGGTGAGATTTTTTGTCTCAAAATAAAAAAAATTTTTTTTGGTACTGGGGATCCAACTCGGGACTTAGAACTTGCAAGGCAGGCAGTGGTGGAACCACTGAGCTAAATCCCTGGCCCTCAAAATAAAAAATTTTAAAAGGGCTGGAGATGTAGCTTAGAGTGAAGACCCATGGTTCAATACCCAGCACCACCACACACACATACACCCAGACCTCCCCCCACACACACATACACACTCACACAGTATTTTCTGGTTATGTACACCTGCAATTCCAGCTACTCAGGAGGCTGATGCAGGAGAATTCTGAGTTTGAGGCCAGCCTCCATGACTTAGTGAGACCCTGTCTCAAATTAAAAAATAAAAAGGAGAGGGATATACCTCAGTGGTGGAGCGTTTGCCTAGCATGTGTAAGGCCCTGGGTTCAGTTTCTGGTGCACCCCAAAAAAGTATTTCTGCTAATGACTGGCATTATATGAGAAGACGGTAGAGCATCAAGAATCCCCATAGGGCAGGGGGCGTAGCCCTCTTACAGAATCCTAAAACCTAGGGTCTCAGCTTTCGAAACATTGGGGGCCTTCTTCTCCAAGAGGACAGGCCCAGGAGACCAGGACCTGCCCAGGGTTGGAGCCTGCTAGTCCCCCAGAGTACCCCCAGGGAGGCCAGGGCTGCGTCCTGGGCCCTAGACAGGGCCTGGGTCTGGCTAAGGCCAGCAGGATCTGGGTCTCAGCTCCCAGGCAGCTGCTTGGAAAACATGTTTTCAAACAGGTCAGCTTTGAAAATGTGATGGTGTTGGGCCAAGTGTGTGAGACCAGGGGAGACCCGAGCCCGCCTGGGGGACAGGGACGCATCTGAGAGGTGACCTAGAGGGCTGGGAGAGCTGAGTTCCAGGGCAGCCATGGCGCAAGCTAGTCTACTTCCTTCCGGATGTGGGAGGTGGGCTGGCTGGACCAGATCAGCACTTTCCCTTCCCTGTGTTGCCCATGACTCCAGGGAATAATGGAAGTCCATGGGGAGTTCACAACCTTTTAAAAATCTTTTTCAATGTTATTTTAAACACTCTAATAAATTTTTGTCGTTGTTTTGAGCTTTTTTTTTTTCCAGTACCAGGGATCGAACTCAGGATCTTGCACTTTCGAGACAGGCGCAGCACCACTGAGCTAAATCCCCAGCCCCTGCTTTTGTTTTGAGACAAGGTTTCACTATGTAATCCAGGCTGGCCTCAAATTCTCTGCCATTCTTTTGCCTCAGCCTTCTGAGTGCTGGAATTACAGGTGTGCACTGCCATGGCTGGCTCTAGACCTTGTTATTTTTTGAGACAGGACTTTGCTAAGTAGCTCAGTCTGGCCTAGAACGTGCAATCCTCCTGTCTCAGAGTCCTGAATAGCTGGAATTGCAGGTGTGTACCACCATGCCCAGCTAAAAACTATAAAATCCTGTGTACACAGTGTGTGCTATGTGCCAAAAGATGTTAGGGACCACTGAGGTATTAAAGTCTGCTGCCAGGTAGCTCATTTGGGGCATGAATTTTGGACAACACATCTCCTAGGAGGTTGGATGAAGAGCCAAGGTCACTCCAGGGTCACTCCCTACATTGCCCAGGTGTTACTTAAACTTAGGATCCTCCTGCTTCACCCTCCCTTGGTGCTTACAAGATGTACACTGACACACTAGCTAATTTTTTTTTAAAGCTTTGGAAGCCACTGGACTGATTTCCCAGTTTTTTGCATCTGTGTGAGTGTGTTTCAGGGGAGACTTAGGGACTTCCCCTTGGCTCTGTTTCAGGGACCAAAGCCCCACCTTGAGCACCTCTAAATTCTCAGGAACTTACAATACTTAAGGACTCAGTGTCCAGTCTGCCCCACTGCAAGTATTTCCCACTCAACTGTGATCACACGCTGCCTGCAGCACCCTTGGGGCCTGGTGACCTTGATGTTCTCCCTAACAGTCTGAGAGCTCCATGTGGACGGGGCCATGCTGGCCTTGGCCCTGCTGTGTCCCCAGTGCCCAGGCCAGTGTAAGCTCAGTCTGCCCACGTGCAGCCTGTTCCTCCTGCTCGCCTCTTTGCTGCCCTGGCCTGTTGTCAGGACACTGAACCATCACGGAGCTGCACGCCTGTATCTCAGCACCCTGCGAGGCTGAGGCTGGAGGATCACAAGTTTGAGCCCAGCCCAGGCAACTAGTGACTAATCGAGGCCATTTCAAAATTTAAAGGGGTGGGGGGCAGGCTGGGGATGTAGCTCAGTGCAAAGGGACTCAGTTCAAACCCAGTTCTGGGAGAAAAGAAAATTCAACAGTCCTGATGGCATGTGCCTGTAATACCAGTTACTCAGAGGGCTAAGGCAGGAAGGTCTCAAGTTCAAAATCGACCTGGGCAATTTAGCGAGACCCTGCCTCAAAATAATATGAAAAGGGCTGGGAATGCAGCTCAGTGGTGGAGTGCTTACCTGGCAAAGCTAGAGAGGCCCTGGATTCAGTCCCCAGCACTGCTGAATAAATGAATATTCAGATTTGAAGCCAGCCGTGGTGGCGCACACCTGTAATCCCAGCACTTGGGAGGCTGAGGCAGGAGGATCACCATGACCAGCCTGGGCTACATAGCAAGACCCTATCTCAGAAAAAAAAAAAAAAAAAAATCGAGTGAAGGATGATTCTTATCTACTTTCCTTTTGTTTCAGGCAGAGTAGCTGCAGACTCATCTAGGGGCTGAAGTCAGGCGCCAGCTCATCTGAGGTTCCCGACTTGGGCATCTCTACCTCACCTGGTCACCTGCTGCACACCTTGTCAGGCATCCACACAATCTGTTTCCACCAGGTCAGGCTGGTGCCTCCCCCTATAGTCTTCTTTCTGGTCCTCCCAGGAGATCTGCACCTCTCACACTTAGACCAGCAGTTCCACGTCTGTTCCCCTGGGATGCCTTCCCAAGACCAAATCACCATCTCCTCCCCTGGCCTGTGCTCTTGCTACTTCTTTTCCTTTCCTTTCCTTTCCTTTCCTTTCCTTTCCTTTTTCCTTTCCTTTCCTTTCTGTGATAGGATCTTATTATGTAGCCCAGGCTGGCCTCAAACTCAGGGCAATCCTCCTGCCTCAGCCTCCCAAATGCTGAGATTACAGGCATGTGCCACCATGCCCAGGTCCACCCCATCCAACTCTTACTTGAATCCTCACTCCCACAGCTTCCCTTACCCTGATGTCACCTGTCCCTCTCCCCCAGGACTGGTGGTTCATAAAGGACAAAAGGATTGAGGGACCCAATGCAACCTTTTAATTCCAAGCAGAGTGCCCCATCCCAGCACAATCACACACATGGTGGAAAAGGAATGCCAGGGTCTGAGCAGGAACAAAACCCAGACCTGGGCAAAAAAATATATATATATATATATATATAATTATATACACATACATATGTGGGGAGAAAGAAAGCTGGGGTGTGAGTAGGCAGGGCAGGGTGAGGAAAGCAGCAGGGCCCCCAGTAAGTTACATTCTGTAGAGAGCAGAGTGTAGGTGAATGGGGATGGTGCCACTGGCAGCCAGGACAGGCATCCCAAGCCTGGCCTCTTGGTCCACTCAAGGGAGGCTCAGGCCTGGACTCTCTGCCCCTGGGCAGGTGACAGGAGGAGGCATCCTAGGGGCTCTGCTTGAGGCTGGTGGTGGCCTTGGTGTCACACAAGTGGCATCACCACACTACACCAAGGCCTCTGGAGAAGCCACTGGCTACAATGAGAGCTTCAAAGCTTAAGGGTAGCACATCGAGGACAGGGCATGGTGGTAGGAGGGTGACCTCCTTGCTGGAGGCCCTGCCTGCTCCTGCCCGTCAGAAAATTGGGAGGCCCGGGTGCGGGGTGCAGGCTCAGGTGGGCGTGCACAAGGCCCTGGGGCTATCCCTGTCCGGCTGCACGCTGCCCACTGGGCAGCAGGGTGAACAGACTGACTGCTCGTTCCCCCATTTTTCCTCACCCATTTTGAGGACCTTCGTACAGGGGTGACAGGGAGAGGGCACATTCACTCACTCTGTGTGTGCTGGAGTCCAGGCTGGGTTGGGTTGGGCAGTGGGGACCAGGGACAAAAGAAGGAGCCCTGGCTCATTACAGTGCAGAAAGTCCACACCTCCCGGCCTGGCGCTGCAGAGGGCCTGGCTTGGCTCTCCCTGAGGAACAGAGCCCACCCCTTCCACCAACCTCCGCCGTGCCTAGCCTGCCAGGGGAAGAGGATGCCGTGGGTCCAGGGCCCCCACTCCAGAGCCCTGAAGCAGCAGGGGGAGCCATCACGGAGAGGGGCAGAGTGGTCAGAAGAGGGACGCCTTCTTCTTGAGCTCGTTCCGCTTCCACAGGGCCAGCTTGCTGAACTCTTCAGGAGACATGGCAAAGACCCTCGAGAAGTCCTCCGAGGACAGGTGCCTCTGTGGGGGGACACGCAGGCAGCTGAGGGATGGAGGCCCAGCGTGGGGCCTGTGTTGAGTGACGAGGGGTGCACGGAGGCCCCATCTTCCCCCAGGCAGGGGAGGAGCCCATGGTCAGCCCCACACCAGTCCACAACAGGTCGGCAGAACTTGACGGCCGTCCCTGCAGTGCAGGCGGGGGGACCCCACTGGCAACCCCCACAGCCATCCGGGGCACCTTCCCTGCACACCTCAAGCCTCATCCGGTCCACTCCTGGAGGCAGCTTGCTTCTGCCCTTGTTGGTCACCACCAGCATCTCGTAGGGGTAGATCTGGGGGCAGGGAGGGTCAGCTCGTGCTCAGCCTCTTCCATCCACGAAACCCCCTCTACTCCGCAGGCCCCTGGTCAAGTGCAACGGCCACCAGGGCTCATGCCACATCGCCCACCCCCCCCCGCTCCCCAGCCCCCCAGCCCCCCAGCCTCACCTCCGGGAGACCCAAGCGCATTCAGCCTGCCTAGCTCACACCCACACCCCGCCCCACTGGATGGTCGGGTCACGCCCTCACCTTCTGCTCCAGCACACAGGGCAGGGAGCTCCCCCGGTCCATCCTCCCCCTCTGGCCCTCTCCGTTCTGGGGAGACCAAAGCCGCAGTGAGCCAGAGTGGGGCAGGGGGACGTTCCCAGCCTTACCCTGGGCTCCTCGGGTCTTCGCCAGGCAATGCCATGGCCCCACACCCCCCTTCCCCTGCCACGGCCAGCTGCCGGGGCCTGGCTGCTGGCACTCCATCTGCTCCCCTCCCGGGGACACTCACCTGCAGGCCTGCGGGAGACAAGAGCCATTGTTCAGAGGCAGCACCAAGGTCTGCGAGCTTCAAAACCCACCAGCTCGGCTGCAGACCTCATACAGACCCCTGCCCGCATCTGACACCGGCTGCACGGGGAGCCTGCAGATGCCCCTCTCCTGGCCCCCAGTCTCACCTGGGCTCCCAGTCTCCCTCTCCGATGGGCTGAAGTCTGTGGACTGTAGCTAGGAAGGCACATGGGGGTCAGTGGGAGCTGAGGACAGTCCTCATCCTCGCCCTCACTCTGAGGGCCTCTCCAGGCCCAGGATCCCACGGACCTGCTCACTCAGCACCCCACATGCACCCCCTTCCGCGAGGCCTGTGAGCCCTGGAGCTCAGAACTTACCCGGCTCAGAGCGGTCCTGCCGTAGGAGGGGAGAGAAGAAGACTTCGACGTTCCCGGGTGCAAGGCTGTGAGAGAGCGAGAGGACCCAGGCTCAGTCCTTTGGGCCCTGACAGTTGTTTCTGAGAGGGCTGCCTAGCTGACCTTGCCCTGCCAGAGCAGGGAAGCAAAAGGGGAAGTTGAGAGAACCCAGTGGGCTTCTGCTGGGTTCCAGCTCCTACCCCACTGCCTTCAGCAAGTGACACCTTGCTGGGGCTTCTCATGTGTTTGTTTTTTTTTTTTTTTTGAGGCAAGTTCTCAATATGTAGTTCAGGGTTGTCTTGAACTCACTATGTAGCCAGGCCATCGCCCTGCCTCAGCCTCCTGGGCTCCTTGGGTCTTTGCACCACTGGCTCATGCAGGGGCTTCTGAACTGTCTAGGATGCCTTCCCTCTTCTCTCTAATTGGTGCAAAATCCACAGCCAAAGCTGAGGCTCACCATCATTTCTCAGTGGCAAGCCTCTGAGATATACACATAAATCTACAGTCTAATCAAAAGAACTGAATTATTTCAATTTTACAAACAGAGTTAATCAAATTTTGAACATTTGACATCAGACTACAAGCAAAGCCATGGTCAGCTACCAAGCAGTCAAGGTACTTCCGGTTTTGCGATACTGGGTGTTATCTGCCACTTGCACATTTCCTAAGATGGCTAAATGTTCAACCAGTGCAGATTGTAATTCTAGAAAATTTATTTCCAGTACTGTATTTCTCTAGAAAGAACTTCATCCCTATGACTCTTAGATTGTACACATCTCCAAACTCCTTTGCCTTCAATTACTACAAAGGTCCGGGACCTGGCAGCAGTTTATGTTTGTTTTTACAGTACTGGGAACTGAACCCAGCTCTACCGCTTAGTTATATCTCCAGCTCTTTTTATTTTGAAGAAATGTACTGCTAAGTTTCCCACACTGACTCCAACTTGTGAAACTCCTGCCTCAGCCTCCCAAGTAGGTGGGATTATAGGCATTCAGCACCATGCCTGGACAGCAGTTCTTTCTTTTGAAGCAAAACATTTATTGGTACATTTTAGGTATACATAATGATATCATTTATCATAGGGAATTTGTACTTGTACATGATATACCTTGAGTCTTCTCTTCTTTTTTCCCATCCCCCCCTTAACCCCCTTCCCCTCCTTATATATAAAAGCTTTGTTTCCATTTTTTCCTTCTATTCTCTCTTTTTTCTTTTCTTGCCTTTCCTTTCCCCCTCCCCCTCCCTTGTTCCTCTTCTCATTTGAACATTTTCTTCCCATTTCTCAATATTTTAGTATACATTTTAGCTCTTATTTCCACTTTCAGTTTCTCACACCAGAGAAACAGTGCGGTATTTAAACATGTGTGTCCCATTTATTTTACTTAAGAGCATGGTCTCAAGGTGCATCCATTTAGACAGCAGTTCTTTTGAGTAGCATTTGGTTTAAATTTTTTTAGCCTCAGAATATTCAAAACTATAAGGAGCTATTTTCTTAAAACAATCTAAAATTGAGAGGAGGTGAGCCAATCCCAGAGCCCAGGAGGAGGCTCCCTGCCACCATCCTACCACTCCTAGGGCAGAGGAGGTGAGCCATGTGGGTGCCAGCAGCACCCCCCCCACACCACCACCATGGAAATGAGAAGACACATAAACAAGCCTCAAAAACAGACTTCCAGATCACCTACAGCAACCCCAAAGGGAAACGAGATAGAACAAT